ATTGTGAAATTGTTTTGTGAGTTACAAAGCATTTCTGGTCACTCTTTTCTTCTGGGTTCTTACTGCTCTGTGTTCATCATTCTGCTATAGCAATTCCCATGTTGTATTGTAATTTATTTGTTTATATCTGTCTTCCACTAGATTAAGATTTTTTCAGAGCTAAGATTTTTGTTTTATTTATCTTTGGACACCAGGGCCTAACACACTGGTACTCAATAAATGTTTGATGAATGTGTGAATAAATGTTTCAGGTCGGAGATGGACTCAGGTGACCTATTAAGTTTCCTTCTACTTTTGCTGTTTAAGATTCCATGAAAATGTCTAAAATAATTAGAGATTGACATAGGAAGAAATATTTAGAATGTAAAAACATGAAATTGGAGGACAGTTCCAGATTTGTTAAATACATATTAACATTCTAGAGTGTACTTTCAAAAGGGAAATTGTTGAGACGGGTTAATTGAGTTTATATATAAAAAGGGAGGTTATGATTTGTCAAGTGAGAAGTAATTTTTCTGGCCAAGGAATGATAACAGCTGAAATGAATCTCTCAAAAGCTAGGAAATTTGGCAGGGGAACATTGTGGCTAAACAAATTCATTAGAGCAGAAAGGTATTAAAAACATTTTGAGAAGTGGAGTTAAATCATGGAAAACCAGGCTTCCTTACTAAGAAGCCAGAAAGTGATGGGACATAAGGTAGAGGTTTTGTTTTGTTTAAAAGAACTTTAAGCTATATCTCCAACAGGAGCAAAGTATGAGCGTTTAGAGAGCAGAATAGGTATACCTACTGAAAAGTTGTTAGTAGACAGAAGAAATTGTAAACACAAGGGGGAAAGGTGAAATAGAAATAGTAAAATGAAAGAAGAAATAACTGAAGTTGATTGAGTAAAGACCAAATTACTTGTAATGAGAGATGAAAAAGCATCCAAAACAATGATCCTAAATAAGAAATTGAGAAGAGATGACAAATGTGATGGCAGAATTAAAATGATAGACTTGGAATGGACATTGGGAGAACTTACAACTGAAGAGCTAAACCAGAGATTCCCTGAACAGTTGACCTCAAAGGCTAAACTGGTAATATCATAGAGTGGCTATTAACACATTCTCTCTGTCTCGTCTCTGACAAAATGTCCAGGAGGGGAGAAGACAGATGTAGTTGTTAGAGTGGATTCAGGGATAATTTTCTCATCAAAGAGGCTTTTTTTTTTGAGACAGGTTCTCTCTCTGTTGCCCAGATTGGAGTGCAGTTGTGCAATCTTGGCTCACTGCAACCTCTGCCTCCTGGGTTCAAGTGATTCTCTAGCCTCAGCCTCCCAAGTAGCTGGGATTACAGGCATGCACCACCACTGCTGGCTAATTTTTGTATTTTTAGTAGAGATGCAGTTTTACCATGTTGGCCAGGCTGGTCTCGAATGCCTGACTTCATGTGATCTGCCCACCTTGGCTCCCTAAATTCTGGGATTATAGGCATGAGCTACTGTGCCTAGGAAGAAATATTTAGAATGTAAAAACAGGAAGAAATATTTAGAATGTAAAAACAGAAGAATATTTAGAATGTAAAAACAGGAAGTTGGAGGACAGTTACAGATTTGTTACACATACGTTAACATTCTAGAGTTATCATCCCAGAGGCCTCATCGTAGAGGCTTTGTCATAGCATAGTGGAATGAGAAAAAGCTTGCACTTAAAAAATCAGACACACCTGACTTAGAATCCCAGATGCCCATCGACAATAGACTGGATAGGGAAAATGTGGCACATATACACATGGAATATTATGCAGCCATCAAAAACGATGAGTTTGTGTTCTTCGTAGGGACATGGATGAACCTGGAAACCATCATTCTCAGCAAACTGACAGAAGAGCAGAAGATCAAACACCACATGTTCTCACTCATAGGCAGGTGTTGAACAATGAGAACACATGGACACAGGGAGGGGAGCACTACACACTGGGGTCAGTTGGGGGGAAATAGGGGAGGGACGGTGGGGGGTGGGGAGCTGGGGAGAGATAGCAAGGGGAGAAATGCCAGATGTAGGTGATGGGGAGGAAGGCAGCAAATCACACTGCCACGTGTGTTCCTATGCAACAATCTTGCATGTTCTTCACATGTACCCCAAAACCTAAAATGCAATAAAATAAATGGGAAAAAAAAGAACCCCAGCTCTGCCTCTTTTAGTGGTTTGACCTTGAGCAAAGTACTTAATATCCCTAAAAGACATTAATAAGAAACCCTGTCCCCTTTGGCAACTCCTGTTTTTCAGATGTCTGGGTTGTTCATCTAATTTTCTCATAATTTTTTGCCTGTTTTCCATTTTTTTTAAAAATGGTGCTTTCTAAGAAATTTTAATCACCTCTATCTTGCAACCCTTTTATTGAGGTTTTAATTCCTCTTGTCATATTTTTAATTCCCAAGAGCTCTTTTGTTTCCTCAATAGTCTTTAAAATTTCTTTTTCTTGTTTTATGGTCGCAATATTGCCTCTAATCTCTCCGAGGATGTCAATGATAGATTTTCTTTTTAAAACTTTCCTTCTGAACTTCAGGGATCTTTCCCAAAAGAACAGACCTCCAGTATTCTGTTGGTGTTGGGGAAGGGAAATTATTTAGCCCTGCAGAATAGGGCAAGGAATCTGCAAGTCAGCTTCTTAGGCTGACTTTCAAGCAGTCCTTCTGGTTATTACCTCTCCTTTATGCCTACTTACAGGGGTACCTGGTACTACAAATTCCTGAGCCCTTTTGGAATTCTTTGGTATAAATGGACTTGCATTTCAGCTTTCCCTACTGATGACTTGGGATGCAGATTTCTTACTTCTGCTAATTCGGTTAGTATTTGTTCAGTTGCTATCCAGTTTCCAAAATTTGTTGCTAATATCTTCTTTCCTCTATTCTTCTACCTTGTGTTTTTATGTCCTTTTAGAATTCCTTTATTGTAATTTTATGAGGGTTTTGAGGAAGGAGCAGAGCTAAATGTGTAAGTTAAATCTGCCACCTTTAAGCAAAAGTCTCCTAATTCTTTTTTTCCAATTATTTTATTTTATATTCGGGGGTACATGTGCACATTTGTTGCATAAGTATTCTTAACTCTTCATCTCTTTTATGTCTATCTCTTTTCATTTTAACTATCACCACATTATACAACTTCTTACCACTTCCTGTCTGGGCTCCTTTCCTCTGTCATCTCATCCCTCAGGTCTGTTTTCCACAATATTGTGGGTTCATCTTCCCAAACAACTGCACGGTGTATCACAGTTTTGATTGTAAAAACTCTTCTGTTGCTTCCTAATGCCAAAAGGAGAAAATCAAAGCCTTCCACAGTCTAACCTCTGTCTACTGTTTCAACCTCATCTTTTAGGCTTTCCGAAACACTCATATCCATATCCACACCCATCCCCACTTGTAGCTTTGGTCAAACTTGCCTGGTGTACCAGACAAGTAGGGACACAGCAGCTAGGCTTGCCTGATGATGTATCCAGTAGACTTATAAGTTGGCCTGTTGATTTGAACAACCAATTTAAAATTCCTTAAGTGAAAACCTGTCTAACTTGAAGGCATCTTATAGCCCCTTTCAGCCTAGGATTTGAAAATCTGTTTACTATATATGCTATTTCTTGATTGTGTTCACTATGTAGTATATTGATTTTTTTCCATGGTCTATTACTTCATACCTTACTTACTTTCTGCTAGATTCTGAAGGTGCAAAAGATGAGTAGGCTATGAAAATTGCTTCTGATAAGAAACCTCTTTCTTCTTTCATAAATGGTATCAAGTTTAAGCCCTAGCTCAATGACTGGATTTACACACTGTGATTTAATATTCTTCTAGGATTTAACATTGTAATTTATTATGTCCTTCTTACATGCCTGGATATTCAAAGGCGTGATGGCTCATGCCCACTGCTCCCGTGTTTTGAGAAGATGAGATAAGAGGATCACTTGAGCCCAGGAATTTGAGAATAGCCTGGGCAAAGTAGTGAGACTTTCTCTCTGCAAAAAATGTTAGCCAGTCCTGGTGGCACACACCTATAGTCCTAGCTACTCAGGAGGCTTTGGTGGGATGATTGCTTGAGTCCAGGAGGTTGAAGCTACAAGTAAGCTATGATTGTGCTGCTGCTCTCCAGCCTGGGTGACAGAGCAAGATACTGCTTAAAGAAAAGTTATGTTTGAGCCAGGCGCGGTGGCTCATGCCTGTAATCCCAGCACTTTGGGAGGCTGACGTGGGTGGATCACCTGAGGTCAGGGGTTCAAGACCAGCCTGACCAATATGGTAAAACCCTGTCTTTAAAAAAAAGAAAAGAAAAGAAAAGTTATGTTTATAACATTTTCCTGAAAGCATATTGTTTTCTTTTGTTGTACACATTTTTTTTTTTTTTTTTTGAGACTGAGTCTCTCTCTGTTACCCAGGCTGGAGTGCAGTGGTGAGATATTGCCTTACTGCAACCTCTGCCTCCTAAGTTCAAGCTCCTGCCTCAGCCTCCCGAGTAGCTGGGACCACAGGCATATGCCACCATGCTCGACTAATTTTTGTATTTTTAGTGGAGATGGGGTTTCACCATATTGGCCAGGCTGGTCTCGAACTTCTGATCTCGTGATCCACCCACCTCGGGCCTCCCAAAGTGCTGGGATTACAGGCGTGAGCCACCACGCCCAGCTGTTGTACACATTTTTAAACTTTTAATTTAAATGGGCATACAATAATTGTACATATTCTTGGGGTACATAGTGATGTTTCAATGCATATAATATACAGTGATCAAATCAGGGTAATTAGCATATCCATCGTCTCAAAATTTATTATTTCTTTGTGTTGAGAACGTTCAATATCTTCTTTCTAGCTAGCTATTTGAAACTATATAGCATATTAATATTAATTGTTGTCATCCTACAGTGTTATATATAGAATGCTAGAACTTATTTTTCTTATTTAGCAGTAATTTTGTGCCCTTTAAAAAATCTTTCCCTACCCCCTGTTTTCTAATGACTTTTTTCTCCCTTCAGAATTGTCTTTGCTGACCTCTTCCTTGTGAATGAAATTCTCTGGATGGAAGAGAATTTTTTTTCTACTCTGCTAGATATCTTTACAATTTGGTTTGGAATTTCAGTACCACTAACATTTTTTGGTGCATATTTTGGAAACAAGGAAAAGGTAAACTTTTTTTTGTTTTGTATTTGAGATGTTTTCACTCTTGTTGACCAGGCTGGAGTGCAATGGCACAACCTTGGCTTACCGCATCCTCTGCCTCCCGGGTTCAAGCGATTCTCCTGCCTCAGCCTCCTAAAGTGCTGGGATTACAGGCGTGAGTCACCGTGCATGGCAGGTAAGTTTTTAAAATACTGCTTTTTTAAAAAATAAAATACTGTAAACTTTTAAAATATTGCTTTTGGCCACTGAGCCATGGCTGAAATAATACTTCAGTGTATATATTACACGTGAAATACAAAAAGTCCCACTGGAGAAAACTACAGATGATAACCATTTTGGACTAAGAGATATTCAAAAAAATTAAGTGAAGGACAGTAACACTTTCAACGACATTAATGCATTTCCTACATTATCAATTGTTGATATTTCCTTTTACCTCTGATGGCCCAAATTAAAAGGACATATTGTAGAAAGGCTGACATCAGCCTACTCAGGAAAGTGATAGGGTTATAAAATGGGAGAAGAAAATCAAGATGTAGTCCAAGAAATGGGGCTATTCAGTTTATAGATTTGAAGTTAGTCTATTCCACACATAGGAAAAAGGTGTAGGATATCAAAAAGACTCAATGAGGCCACACAGACAAAAAACTGTTCAAAGATATAGCATAGATTGCAGGGGAGACATCAGAAAAGGCAAAATGGGAGGTGGAGTTCCACAGAGAGCAACAAAAAGAAAATTTTCTGAAAACAAACTATTGATGCATTCTGACTACTTGGTGATCCAAGACAGCCAAATAGGAACAGCTCTGGATTGTAGTTCCCAGTGAAAATGCAGAGGGTGAGTGATCACTCCATTTCCAAATGAATTTTTACTGCCCACAGACCAGGAGATTCCTGGGCAGAAAAGCACCACAAGTCTCCAGTGCGGCTGTTTCAGCCGGCGCAATGGGTTTCTGCACAAAAACTCACACAAACTTGGGTGCAGTTTCAACTGGCAACTGGAACGCCTGGGAGACGGAGTCGCCTGTTCAACTCAAAAAAAGGGGACTGAAACAGGGAGCCAGGTGATCTCGTTCAGTGGGTCCCATCCCCACAAAGACCAGCAATCTGAAATGCTCTGGATTGAGAGTTTCACAGCAAGCACAGCTGGACCTGGGACGGTCCAGCTCTATGGGGGGAAGGGCGTCCGCCATTACGGAGGCAATCCACCACTACTGAGGGAGTCTGCCACTACTGAGGCAGTCCGCCATTACTGAGGCAGTTCTAACTATACCCCTATAAACAAAACTGCAAGGAAGTTCACATAGAAGCTGGGCAGAGCCCATGGCAGCTCAGCAATGCCTCTGCTGGCAGACTGTGACTAGGCTACCTCCTCACTGGGCAGGGCATCTCTGAAAAAAGGCAGCAGCACATCAGGAACTTATAAATAAAGACCCACCTTCCCAGGACAGAGCACCCGGGAAAAAAGGTGGCTATGAGTTCAACTGCAGCAGACTTAAACGTACTTGCCCAGCAGTTCTGAATGGAACAACAGAGCTCACAGCTCAGCACTTAAACACCTATAAGGACAGACTGTCTCCTCAAGCAGCTCCCCAACCCCTGTATAACCAAAGAGTCACCTCATAAAGGAGAGCTCAGGCTGACATCTGGCGGGTATCCTTCTGGGACAAAGATAACAGAAGAAGAAACTAGCAGCAACCCTTACTGTTCTGCAGCCACTGCAGGTGATCCCTAGGCAAGCAGGGTCTGGAGTGGACCTCCAGAAGTCCTACAGCAGGGGAGCCTGACTGTTAGAAGGAAAGCTAAAAAACAGAAAGAAATAACCTCATCAGCAACAAAAAGGACATCCACTCAGAGACCCCATCTGAAAGTCACCAACCACAAAAACCACAGGTAGATAAATCCACAAAGATGGGAAGAAACCAGTGCAAAGAAGATGAAATGCTAATGAGAATAAACAGCTTAGAGAGGAATATAAATGAATTGATGGAGCTGAAAAACACAACACGAGAACTTCGTGAAGCATACACAAGTTTCAATAGCCAAATCGACCAAGCAGAAGAAAGGATATCAGAGATTGAAAATCAACTCAATGAAACAAAATGAGAAGGCAAGTTTAGAGAAAAAAGAGTAAAAAGAAATGAACAAAGCCTCCAAGAAATATGGGGTTATGTGAAAAAGCCTTATCTACATCTGATAGATGTACCTGAATGTGATGGAGAGAATGAATCCAAGCTGGAAAACACTCTGCAGGATATTATCCAGGAGAACTTCCCCAACTTAGCAAGGTAGGCCAACATTCAAGTCCAGGAAATACAGAGAACACCACAAAGATACTCCTCAGGAAGAGCAACCCCAAGGCACATAATCGTCAGATTCACCAGGGTCGAAATGAAGGAGAAAATACTAAGAGGAGCCAGAGAGAAAGGTCGGGTTACCCACAAAGGGAAGCCCATCAGACTCACAGAGGATCTCTCAGCAGAAACCCTACAAGCTAGAAGAGAGTGGGGGCCAATATTCAACATCCTTAAAGAAAGGAAATTTCAACCTACAATTTCATATCCAGCCAAACTAAGCTACATAAGCGAAGGAGAAATAAAATCCTTTATGAACAAGCAATTGCTCAGAGATTTCATCACCACCTGGCTTGCTTTACAAGAGCTCCTGAAAGAAGCACTAAACATAGAAAGGAACAACCAGTACCAGCCATTCCAAAATGTACCAAGTGGTAAAGAGCACAGACACAATGAAGAAACTGCGTCAACTAATGGGCAAAACAACCTGCTAGCACCAAAATGGCAGTATCAAATTCACACATAACAATATTAACCTTAAATGTAAATGGGCTAAATGCCTCAATCAAAAGACACAGACTGGCAAATTGGATAAAAAGCCAAAACCCATTGGTGTGCTGTATCCAGGAAACCCATCTCACATGCAAGGATACACATAAGCTAAAAATAAAGGGGTGGGGGAAGATTTACCAAGCAAAAGGAGAGCAAAAAAAAGCAGGAGTTGCAATTCTCATCTCTGATAAAATAGACTTTGATGCAACAAAAATCAAAAGAGGCAAAGAAGAGCGTTACAAAATGTTAAAAGATCAATGCAACAAGAAAAGCTAACGATCCTAAATATGTATGCACCCAATACAGGAGCTCCTGGTTACATAAAGCAAGTTCTTAATGACCTACAAGAGACTTAGACTCCCACACAATATTAGTTGGAGACTTGAACACTCCACTGTCAATATTAAACAGATCAATGAGACAGAATATTAACAAGGATATCCAGGTCTTGAACTCAGACCTGGACCAAGCAAACCTAATAGACATTTACAGAACTCTCCACCCCAAATCTGAAGAATACACATTCTTCTCAGCATCACATCATACCTACTCTAAAATTGACCACATAATCGGAAGTAAATCACTCCTCAGCAAATGCAAAAGAACGGAAATCATAACAAACAGTCTCTCAGACCACAGTGCAATCAAGTTAGAACTCAGAATGCAGAAACTAACTAACTCAGAACTGCACAACATCATGGAAACTGAAAAACTGGTTCTTGAATGTTTACTGGATAAACAATGAAATGAAGGCAGAAATAAAGATGTTCTCCGAAAAACCAACGAGAACAAAAACACAATGTACCAGAATCTCTGGGACACATTTAAAGCAGTGTTTAGAGGAAAATTTATAGCAATAAATGCCCACATGAGAAGCAAGGAAATATCTAAAATTGACACCCTATCATCAAAATTGAAAGATGGGGATGGAGGCAGCAAACTGCATTGCCATGTATGTACCTATGCAACAATCCTACATATTCTTTACATGTACCCCAGAACCTAAAATGCAATTATATATGTATATATAAAATCTCATGTAAAATATATACCAGTGTATGAGAATGAGGGATGAGGGTTGAAGAGAAGCATCTCTATAGATAATAACACATTGCTTCAAGACCAGCCTGGCCAACATGTTGAAACCCCATCTCTACTAAAAATACAAAAATTAGCTGGGCATGGTGGTGCACACTTGTAGTCCCAGCTACTCAAGAGGCTGAGACATGAGAATTGCTTGAACCCAGGAGGCAAGTGGAGGTTGCAGTGAACTGAGATCGCACCACTGCACTCCAGCCTGGGTAACATAGTGAGATCCTGTCTCAAAAAAATAAAAACAAAAACAAAATAAACAAGCACATTGCTTTTCACTGAAATAAAATTTAATTGTCTAAAGAATCTTTTAGTTTTCATTTTAAAACAACATCTGGAAAATATTATACTATAATCTATTTTTCAGCTTTTTTTTTCTTTTGTTTTGAGATGGGGTCTTGCTCTGTCACCCAAGCTGAAGTGCAGTGGCACAATCTCAGCTCACTGCAACCTCCACCTCCTGGGTTCAAGCGATTCTCATGCCTCAGCTTCCCAAGCAGCTGGGATTACAGTCATTCACCACCATGTCCAGGCAATGTTTGTATTTTTGGTAGAGATGGGGTTTCACCATGTTGGCGAGGCTACTCTCAAACTCCTGATCTCAAGTGATACACCTGCTTCAGCCTCCCAAAGTGCTGTGATTATAGGCCTGTGCCACCACACTCAGCCAAAAAAAGTAAATCTTTAAAAATATTTCCATCAAAACGTACCTTTTAAAAATTGTGGATTCAACAGGGTGACTATAATCAACGATAATTTAATTGTACATTTTAAAATAACTAAAAGAGTATAATTGTGTTGTTTGTAACACAAAGGATAGATGCTTGAAGGGATGGATACCCTGTTCTCCGTGATGCGGTTATTATGCACTGCATGCCTATATCAAAACATCCCATGTTCTCCATAAATATATACACCTACTGTGTACACACAAAGATGAAAAATAAATTTTTTTAAAGTCATGAATTAAGTCTCAGTTCTCTAGGAAATTCTCCTAGGTCAGATTGCTATTTACTGGATAAAGTGGAGGTAAATGAAGTATTATCATGCCAGAATTTAACCTCCTTAAAATATAGGAATGTTAATTTACTAAAAACTAACACTTTAAAGATTATGAAGATGCAATACTCACCAAATACTGTTCAGAATGAAAAAGAGTTGAATAAAAATACAACCAAACTGTAAAATTCCACCAATTATGATGCCAAGAAGTAGTTTTGTAAAGAAGTTCTGTGTAGCAATCTGATGGAGGAGCTGGTTTGTGTGAAGTGGACAAGTAATCTGCTTGGAAATAAATGAAGTGAGAATCAGAATGAAATGAAATTGAAGACCATCTGTACTGATATTATCACAAAACAGAATCTTGAATCTGAAGAGGGCATGGAATATTTACGGGAGCATTTTTCTCAAAGGCAGCTTTAAGAAAACAACAATTGTTTAAGAAAACAACAAAAAAGCAGTCATGTGGGCAGGGGCTAGGCTAGTGCTGTGCAATGGAACTACAATGCAAGTCACATATGTAGTTTTATTTTTTTAGTAGTCCCCTTTAAAAAGTAAAAAGAAATAGATGGAATTAATTTTCATATCATGTTTTATTTAGTCTAACATGTCCAAATATTATCATTTATACTTGTGATTAATATTAAATTATTGAGCAAATATTTTACATTTTTTTGTTGTTGTTTTAGGTGTTCAAAATCTGGTGTGTATTTTCCACATACAGCCCATCTCAATTCAGACAGCCACATTTCAAGTGCTCAACAGCCACATGCGGCCAGTGGCATCATACTAAGTAACACACGGCTAAACAATCAATAAGGATATTTATCATTTTTTATGATTTCCAATGGAGAGATTGGAAAGACTTACTAGTGAGTATTCTAATGCAAAATAATCTAAAATGTCAAAAAGTTCTCTCTTGGGGATCGTCACACACTGGAGTCTGTTGGGGGCTGGGGGGCTAGGGGAGGGACAGTGAGGAGTGGGGAGGTTGGGGAGGGATAACACTGGGAGAAATGCCTGATGTAGGTGACAGTGGGATGGAGACAGCAAACCACCATGCCATGTGTGTACTTATGCAACAATCCTGCAAGATCTGCACATGTGCCCCAGAACTTAAAGTACAGTAAAAAAGAAAGAAATGAAAAAAAAGTTCTCTCTTAGAATTTGTCTAAGAATGTGTCAATAGTTTTTTGTTTTTGTGTTTTTTAACACACACACACACACACACACACACACACACACACATATATATATACATATATATATATATAATTTCATTTTAGGTTCTGGGGCACATGTAAAGAACAGGCAGGGATGTTGCATAGGTACACACATGGCAATGTGGTTTGCTGCCTCCTCCCCATCACCTATATCTGGCATTTCTCCCCATGTTATCCCTCCCCAACTCCCCACCCCGCACTGTCCCTCCCCTATTTCCCCCCAACAGACCCCAGTGTGTAGTGCTCCCCTCCCTGTGTCCATGTGTTCTCATTGTTCAACACCCGCCTATGAGTGAGAACATGCGGTGTTTGATTTTCTGCTCTTGCGTCAGTTTGCTGAGAATGATGGTTTCCAGGTTCATCCATGTCCCTGCAAAAGACACAAACTCATCATTTTTTATGCCTGCATAGTATTCCATGGTGTATATGTGCCACATTTTCCCTGTCCAGTCTATCATCGATGGGCATTTGGGTCGGTTCCAAGTCTTTGCTATTTTTACATGAGATTTTTACGTGGGGTATTGATCGGTTCATCAGTTTCTTTTTATTTCCAGAAGGCCTTTTAAAAAATGGATGTTGTGTCCAGGTGTGGTGGCTCATGCCTTTAATCCCAGCATTTTGGGAGACTGAGGCAGGGGGAATCACTTGAGGCCAGGAGTTCAAGACCAACCTTGCACAACATAGCAAGACCAGCCTTGCACAACATAGTGAGATCCTGTCTCTATAAATGAAATGAAATAAAATAAAATAAAAAATCAGCCAGGCATGGTGGCACGTGCTGGGCTAAAAAGTTAGCCAAGCATGGTGGCCTGTAAGTCCCAGCTACTTGAGAGGCTGAAGCTGTGGTTGCACCAGTGGGTGACAGAGTGAGATCCTTTCTCTAACATATTATTTAATTAAAATGGGCATTGATTATCCAAACATAGCTCAAGTCTATAATAACCAAGAGAATTAACTTCATTCTTTCAAAGTTTCGCACCTACATATAATCCACACACAGATTTTTAAAAATGTGTGTTTGAAAGTATGTTTGATAGAATTATGTGTGCTTTGCTATAAAGACTTATTTGGAGAAGCTGAATGTCAACAGGCCTTCTAAGGCAAAAGTGGTGTTTGAGTTTGCTGTTTTCTGTTTTATAATGTAGTTGTTAGTATTCATGGCATTTGCAGTCTTCCATTTCTAAAGAGAATGTTTTCAAATGTGTATGGAGAAAATTATGGTGCTACTGATGAGTCTCAAGTGAGAACTAACTTACATGAACAGAGAAACATGGGTAAGTAGCAGCACTGGTTCTGACTAGAGAAGTTGTGGCCAAACTCTGAAACTGTGTCTGTAAGGGACTATTTTTTTGGTACTAGATGGGTAGGTGAAGGTTTGTAATGGAGTTAAATGTTTAGGGTTAAAAAAAAGAAAGGTTTAGAGAAGTGTGTGACTGTCTATTGTATAGATTTGGATTGATCTTTCTATGTGCACTGTTAAGTTAAAGTTTATTTAAACCTCTTATTTTTATTTTCAGGTCTCATTAGGTGTGCTACATGTTTGGCTTCCTTTTCTTACTCTTTATAATTCTTTTGATTACTTGCTCAGAAGTTACAGTTTTGCTGTATTATTTTCATTTATGTGCTGAGATAAAGCCATAAGAAACTAATGCATCTGAAATTTTCTATACTTGTATTATTGGAATTGGAAGTCTGTGTTTAGAAAGGAATTGAAATAAATGGTAATGGCATGTTTCTACAACTTGAGGTCAGTTTTATATTGTGTTTTCCTAATAACACATTTTGACTTTGATGCGGTTATCAAGTTAAGGCTGCTTTGATGGAAAATTTAAATGGAAAGTGATTTCTCTTTGACTGGTTATTGTAATTGCTGCATGATATTCAGTGAACAGAAAAAGATAAGGGACTGATTTAATATTTACCAAGTTCAGTGATGTTTTCCTTTCTTCTTTTTTTCCTGAGACAGAGTCTCACTCTGTCACCCAGGCTGGAGTGCAGTGGTGTGATCTTGGCTCACTGCAACCTCTGCCTCCCAGGTTTAAGCGAATCTCCTGCCTCAGCCTCTCGAGTAGCTGGGACAACAGGTGCCCACCACCACACATGGCTAATTTTTGTGTTTTCAGTAGAGACAGGGTTTTGCCATGTTGGCCAGGCTGGTCTCAAATTCCTGGGTTCAAGTGATCCACCTGCCTTGCTTCCCAAAGAGCTGAGATTACAGGCCTCAGCCACTTGCACTCGGCCAATATTTTCTTTTTAACAATAAAGTTTTTTCTTTGCAGCTTAAGCCAGGATTGTGGTTTGTTGGTTTGAGATTGTGGCTAAAGGTCCTTTCTCTTTTTTCATTTTATTGCCTTTTGGTAACCACAGACATAAATTGTTCTTTTTACTCCAGTCTTATTTTTTCCTGATATCATTCCGGATAACTGAGCTGGTAGCATATATTGTTCCCCTAAATCCCCTAAATCCTTTTTATTTTGGTAATTAAATATGACTCTGCAAAAGTGACAGACAATGGAGGGTTCAGGGAATGATTCTTATGTACATGTTGTCTTAGACATTTTCTTCTTGTGCTATAGGTATAGAGGTCCAAAATGGAACTATGTATATGCTTAAGTATGCTTATGTAGTATACTTACCTGGTATATTAGTTCGTTTTCACACTGCGGATAAAGACATAGCTGAAACTGGGAACAAAAAGAGGTTTAATTGGACTTACAGTTCCACATGGCTGGGGAGGCCTCAGAATCATGGCAGGAGGCGAAAGGCACTTCTTACATGGCAGCAGGAAGAGAAGAATGATGAGGAAGCAAAAGTGGAAACTCCTGATAAACCCATCAGATTTCATGAGATTTATTCACTATCACGAAAAAAGCCTGGGAAAGACACGTCCCCATGATTCAATTACCTCCCCTTGGGTCCCTCCCACAACATGTGGGAATTATGGGAGATAAAATTCAAGTTGAGATTTCAGTGAGGACCCAGCCAAACTGTATCAGCTGGTCATTAATTCTATGGTACATTTTGTCATAGAGAATTGGCAGCAATCATTAATGAGGCATACAACAATAAGCATATAATGGATATATTTTTATTCCTAAAAAAATGTTTTGGGGGGTCCTGAAGACTACCCAAATGTTTGGTGACTCACTAGAAGGACTCGTGGGACTAGTCATCCAGATGCACACATGGGTAGGCTACAGAAATGATGCCCACAGGACCAGTGAGGGAAAAAGACAGGTGGAGCTTGGAGGAATCCAGGCACAGATTTCTTATGTTGTCTCCCTCCTGTTAGAGAGCACACCGAGCATGCTTCTTTCTCCAGCAGTGAAAAATGCAGTAATAAATGTGCAATGTTCTGCCCAGGGAAGCGCATTAGAGATTCAGCATCTAAGGTTTTTATTGGGAGTAGTCACATAGACACCCTCTGCCTAGCAACTACAAAATTCCAGACTCCTCAAAGGAAAGCGAGTATTCACCATAAATCACATTGTCTGTGCAGTCTAGGCATAGCAAACCAGTCTACATCAGTCAGGGAATGATTAAATGCCAAAGTCTCAGATGCAAGCCAAGGGCCAAACTTGCAAGCAGACTTTCTAAAGATAGTAGCCTCAGACCTGCTATGTTAATTCTTTTCTGCACTGTCTTTCCCCATGGCCTCTGGCCACAGTGTCTTTGCAATAACATTATCATCAGTAGGAGTCCATGGGACAGGGTGAGACCAACCTGCAGTATTGACCTTAGTCATGCCATCCATGGGTCCTGAATTGAGCCAGTTAAAGCAAATCTTATTAACCACAAGGTCTAGCCTAAATTTTTATATTATCCCCCTTTAAAAAAATGCCTGGCCTGAGGCATCAATAGGCATAGCACAACTCTGGCCAGTATATAGAGGCTGAGCTGAATGCCTTCCAGGGCTGAGGCAATGTTATGATAGTCAGTGTGCACACCTTAAAAGTCCAATCCCAGAGGACACGTGGTATCCCTGGAAACAAAGAGTTGACAATTGTTAGGACAATCCAGGCAGGGCATACATTACGTATTTTATTAAATTTCTTATAAAATTTTCTCTTTTATTTCTTTTAATCCATAATTTTCTAGAGTTATATTCTTGTTATAATAACTGCCAACCCATTTATGGTTAAAATTTCAGCTGAAAAGTCATTTTTTTCTACTTATTTTTACAGGATTATCATTGGTGGTGGCGATCCTTTTCAACTAGCAGCTTTATAGCTGTTTATCTTTTTACGTATGTAGTTCATTACTTCTTTGCCAAACTTCAAATCACAGAAATTGCGAGCTCTATTTTGTACTTTAGGTACACGATGATCATTGTGTTGATTTGCTTCCTTTTCATAGGTAACTACAGAATTACTCAGTGTATTTCAGACTCTCTAAGAGTCTTCAAGATAGCCATAATGTAATAAACATAAATTAACAACTAGTGGAAGAAAAAGGGAACAAAGTCATCATGTTCATTTTTATGCTTTAGAGATAAAAGATTGCACAGCCGGGGGGGACCTGAAGGGACCTTATGTACTTAGCTACAAGATTGTCCCTTGTGAATGTTTTAAACAGCGATATGTTCCAAAGCACAGAAAGGGTTATGCGTAATCACATTCGAATGGCCTCTAAGCATAAAAATTAACCTA